AATTTTAGCACCAAATGAGGCCTTTAGGATTTAGCTTCCTTTCATTCATTCAGTAAATATTCATTGTAGGTATTTTGTAAAAATGTTGTTTTGGCTACCTAAATCAGTGAAGGGATACTACAAAGGTAAATCAGAAATGAACTGTGAGATCAAGAAGCCTGTAGCTCTGAGGAGAGATAAAAGTGTTTAAAGATAATGAGAGTGTGAAGCAGAGAAATGGGCTAGACAAGAAGAGGAGACGCTTAATCTAGGAAATATAGGCTCCTTTTGAGGAGGAGAGTAGAGCGTTCTCTTTAGTTCTTTCTTCTATTCCCCACGCCTCACACACGGCTGACATTTCGTTGAATATTAAATGATTAGAGTAGAAAACTCTGACTCAAAGTTCTGACTCTGTGACATACTTACAGCATGGCTAAAAATAAGGCACTGCAATTTCTTGAGGCTCAGTTCCTTTACTTAAAAAATAATATGGATTTTAAAATGCTTGTCAAATACGTTTATGCATGTGAAATACTTCACTTGAACACCTTCATTACACAGGTGATACTGCTGAATTAAGGTAAGCGGATATGGATTTTACCAGTCCCTATGTGAGTAGGGAACCCACACAAAAATGTGTGGACCTGTTTTGAGAGTCACGTGTTAAAATGAGACTTTTCCTATTTTATCAGTGTTGGGGCCCTAACTTAAACAGTTATAAATGCCCACACTCAGGAGTTCAAAAAAGGAAGTGCTAACCCACCTTATCACTTTGCAAAGGGGTGACTCCATTCAATGTTTGGTGGGTCCTATCCCATTATGTACTTCAGGAATGGGACACAAATGTATAAGGTGAACCTTGAAGCAACTTGGGATACTATTAAATTATACCACTAGAATGTGTCCATAGTAACAAAGTTTCATACTTGCATAAATTTAGAATTCCTTTAGTAGAAAACAACCATTTAGAAATGTGAGGAAGTTAAAATACCGCACAAAGTGATGTCACCTACCAGAGGCAAGGCCAGGAGAATTGCTGAATTTTTTTGGCTCTCAGATCAGTAATCTCATTACCATATCCAACGCATCTCTGTTTGCAAATTTGAAACCTTCTAAGACTCTAAGAGTGGGAATAATGGAATACGAGAAAACACCAAGTGTGTTTCATCGTATGAATCTAGAACAAAAGCTGTATTCCTTCTTTTTTTTTTTGAGCTGGAGTTTTGCTCTTGTTGCCCAGACTGGAGTGCAATGGCACTATCTCGGCTCACTGCAACCTCCACCTCCCAGGTTCAAGCGATTCCTCCTCCTCAGCCTCCCTAGTAGCTGGGATTATAGGCAACCACCACAACACCTGGCTAATTTTTTTGTATTTTTAGTAGAGACAGGGTTTCACTATGTTGGCCAGGCTGGTCTCAAACTCCTGACCTCAGGCTATCCACCCACCTCAGCCCCCCAAAGTGTTGGGATTACAGGCATGAGCCACCACACCTGGCCCAAAAGTTGTATTCCTTCTAACGTGCCAAAAGAAGAGGAAAAATAGGGGTAGCAATGAGATAAATAAGTGAGATGTGGAGTTTGAAACTTTCTATTTCTATAGAATCAATGGCATTTATTTTTTAATAATAATTTTAAATGTAAGTGTAATATTTTTATGTCTTCCCATTGCTAATGTAGCAAATCATCACAAATTTAGTGGCTTTAAACAACGCAAATGTTGTTTCTCACAGTGCTGTGGATTAGGAGTCTGACATGGGCTAATATGAGGGGACTGGCAAAGCTGTGCCCTCTGGATGCTGTAGGGGTGAATCTATTTCCTTGTCTTTTCCAGCTTCTAAAAATTGCCCACATTTCTTGGCATGTGTTCCCTTACCCCATCTCAAAATTTAGCAATTCATGGATTTAGTCCTTCTCATATTACATCACTCTGACCTCCGTTCCCATCATTATATCTCCTTCTTCACTCTGATTCTTCTTTACCACTTTCAAGGACCCTTGAGATCACACCGTGACCACCTGGATAATCAGGGTGCTCTTCACATCTCAAGGTCCTTATTGACATATGCAAATCCCTTTTGCCAAGTAAGGTAAACCCTTTTCTTTGTGTATGTGATGAATACATTTTATATATATTATATATATAAGTCTATATATATTAGTTTCTCTATATATTAGTCTCTTTCTATTTATTTTATTTATTTATTTATTTATTTTTTAAGATGAGGTTTCACCATGATGGCCAGGCTGGTCTTGAACTCCTGACCTCAGGTGATCCACCCACCTCGGCCTCCCAAAGTGCTAGGATTACAGGCGTGAGCCACCGTGCCCGGCCTATTAGTCTCTTTCTGTATCTATTAGTCTATATATATGTATTAGTCTCTCTATATATTGGTCTATATATATATGTATGTATTAGTCTATTTTGTCATTTACTACCATAAAATATACACAGATCTATTTAAAATCTCCTGTTGCTATTGTGGTGAGCTCTAGCGTTGTGACTATCCAATTAAAACACCATGTGGTGCTAATCATCTTCAGGTGAGCTGACCTTCTCCCCAGTCAATTGCCTCTGGTGGTTACCATCTCTTGCAGTTCTTGTATATTTCTCATCATTTTTATTGCAATAAAATTAAACCTTGTAAATCTTGGATAGCACATGGGACCCATGTGGAGCTCCACTAGTGATGCTGGAAGTGCTTCCAAGAAGCAGAGAAAAGTCATGACATTATTAGAAAAGCTGAATTGCTTGAGATTTACTGCAGACTGAGGTCTGCAGATGCAGTTGCCCGACATTTCAGAAGATTCTTCTTGTAATCAATATTGAGACATATAAGTTCAGTAGTTAGTAATTCTGAATATAAATAAGTAACAGGAATAAAAAAAGAAAAAAAGCGATTTGGTAGCGTGGGGAGATACTGTACTAAATCCTTTAAAATTTATTAGAATTTTCTGTTCCTACGGTATAAAGTTTGCATGATCTGATACCAGCCTGACTGGCTGCTACTTCCACTGGATGTAGTGCCGTCTTTCATCTCTGTGCACAAGATGGCAGGATCCTTTAGTTACAGACAGGGTCGCCATTTGACAAAAAGTGACACCAGAAAAAAAAAGTGTAAAATAAACACTAGAATTTAGCCATACTAGATTAGAAATATAAAACCTAAAAACCTCAAGTGAGTTAGGCATTCACTACCCAAGGTACAAACAAAACGCATTTTTGGCAATTGCCCATTTAGATTAGCCCCTAACTAATAAGTTGCATTTTTGGTAACCATTTTGAAAAAGCTTGTCTGGTACCAGAAACTATACAGAAGTAGTAAGATTGATTTTTCATTTTTCTTATGCAATTGCTTTACTTCACATGTAAAATTTTGCATATAAACTGGAAATCTCAACCAAAGAATAATTAAACGTTATCCAATATAAAATTCTAAAATATATTTAAGTGAGAAGAATAGCTTTAGTATCACAATTTATTCAAAGTTATCAGCATAATTTAATGACATTTCAGGTTAAAATTAAAATGAGTATAAGAAGTTATAATCAAATATTTATTTGCAATTATTAGCAATTCAATAAACAAACAGAATATTTGCAATTATTAGCACTTCAATAAACAAACAGAAGCTGTATCACTTTTAAGTAGTATTCACTTGAGAGTAATAACTGTTTGGATTGGAAGGTGGTGAGTTCAGTAGCTCTTACATAGTATTCTCCAATCTACAAAAGCTTTGTTTCCCCTTCAAACAACACATAATAATAAAAGCTAACAATTACATAGTGTTTGTCAAGTACCAGATACACATCAACATATTTTACAGATTTTAACTAATTTCAATCACATAATAACCATGTGAGGTAAGTGCCATCATAAACTCCATTTTGTAAATGAGGGGTCTCATATAGGGGCCTTAGGAACTTGTCCAAAGCCACACAAAGAAAATGGAACAGAGATGGGATTTAAACCCAGGCATGTTGACTTCGGAGTATACACACAAATAAAATGATGCTTTGTTTGTCTTGCATAGCAAAGTAATATACAGTACTATCAGGTGGGAATGGGTAAAATGTACACTTGAATAGGGGTTATATTATTTCCAGGTTTTGGAAACAATTGCAATAAACATTGTACTAGCAGTTCTGGTTCAGTTTTCTTTTTTCTTATATATTTAAATTAAATTTCTTTTTTAGAGATGGGACCTTGCTATGTCACCCAGGCTGGCAACTTCACACTTTTGGGCTAAGTGATCCTCCTGCTTCGGCCTCCCCAGTAGCTGGGATTACGGGTGTGTGCCACTCTGACTTAATTTCAGTCTTCTTAAAAATATACAACTAGCATGCCTGTAATTTCATCTTGCCTACTGGTAACCACCAGTTAAAACAAGAAGAAAACAGGAAACCTTCCAGTTATGAGGGTTTTAGAAAAGCGTATTTCAGAAAAAAATAATTGTACATTCAAAAGAGTGGTTGGTTCTTGTAAATTGTTACTGATAACCTAGAGTCTAACTCTGGCAATACCTTTGTGTATTTATGTATGTGCATGTACTTGTGTATGTATGTATTATGTTATGCACATATTCTCAATGGTGAAGAATTTTTGTTCTCTGAGAATGGATTTTATCTGGAGGTAATCAAAAGCATTATGAGCTAAAATGGGTAGATGATGTAGAGTTGGGCAATATTAACTTGACAGAAACATAAGTTTTGGCCAAAAATAATAAAATGGGCTTTTTAACACTTTAGTTACCAACTACGACATTTACTTTATGAAACAAAGGATTCAAATATCTTTGGAATCTAATTTCATTATAAGGTAAGGCTCTCCCTCCTTCCCCAAGGTTTTCTGCCTCACTTCACTGGGATAATAGGTGAGAAATCTGCCCTGTAACTTCTTTGTATATGGACTTCATGCTGTGATCTAGATTATAAAACACTAGGTAGATATTGTGGTAAAAAGAGCATCCTCATAGGTAATGCTATAATAATGTAGGCATTTTAGTCACCAAGTAAAGTCCTACCTTCAAAAACAGTCCATCAGAAGAAATTTTCATTTTATACTTGAATGAAACTCAGTTTTCCTTCATTCTCACATTTTTGGGGAAAAAGTCATTCACCCACTCTAACAGTGGCTGAGATCCATTTGCTTTGTGAAAACGCACTCTGTTCTCAGCGTAATCCCTCGTCCCGTAGACGTATTCTCTTAACCACTGCTGCCATCTGCTGGTCTTGTTATTGTTAGATTTTAGAAAAAGCAGTGCATAAGGCTCCAGTCAAGATGATGCAAAATGCAAGTATCATTAATAGGTAGTTTTGTAGGCCCTGAATAAGAAAAAAAAGAATAATAATGATGAAAAAAGCCTGAATCAAATGCACAAAATGGACAAAGTCTCAAGATTGCTAGGGACCTGACAAACCATCGCTGTAGCCACCTGTATGCTTTTTTGCTATCCCATCCAAGTAATCAGGTTCTCACAAAACGCTGCAAAGCCTTGTGAATTCACCCATTTGGTAAATAAATGTGAGCACCCACTAAGCTTCAACGTGTGCCTTCATGCAGCCAATCATATAATATGGGAGACAGGAAGTAATCACAGAAAAAGTTATCACGTGAGAGGGGTGTTAATAAGCAAACCACCATGGTTGAGAGTGTGTTACTGGAATCTTAATCATTCTGGATTAGAGGGTGGGGAGTGGAGCTTCTAACTACAAGTATCAGTGAGTTGGCCAGGGGAATAGGGCAGCAAGTACAGATTCCAGGTAGAAGGAATTTTGTGTGCACAGTCCCGTTGTAAGAAAAAGCAAGATATTTCCCAGGGACTGAAGGGAGGTCAATGTGGCTGCAGCAATGAAAGTTAAGTGGAGCAAGATGAGGTTGGAAGACCATGGACCTGAACACTTGCTTTGCTTTGGGTCCTTTTTTTTTTTCTTTTTTTTTGAGATGGAGTCTCCCTCTGTCACCCCGCTGGAATGCAGTGGCGCCATCTCGGCTCACTGCAACCTCTGCCTCTCAGGTTCAAGAGATTCTCCTGTCTCAGTCTTTCAAATAGCTTGGATTACAGGAGAGTACTACCACACCCGACTAATTTTTGTACTTTTAGTAGAGACAGCATTTCTATTTGTTGGCCAGGCTGGTCTTGAACTCCTGACCTCAAGTGATCTGCCCTCCTCCGCCTCCCAAATTTGGGTTCTATTTTTCAAAGCAAAGAGGAAGACATTAAAGAAACATGCAACTGGCTGTGTTAAAATATCAGATTTGCATTGCGTAAAGCTCATGCTTCTTTTGCAGGATGGCAGACAGATTGGAGGGGCCAGAATGGATTCAAGGAGACCAATCAGGAGGTGACTGTAGTCTTCCAGGGAAAAGAGGATGAAGGGGAGATGGAGAGTTGGAGATGGATCTCAAGGGTGAAGAAGAAATGCAGAGAGGGTGTGAAGAATGACTCAGCCGGCCTTGCCCAGTTATGTATGGGGTCACTGTTCTTAAAGATGGGAACTATTGAGAACCACTTCCCTGTGTTGCCCAGTCCATCTTTGAATTAACAAAGCAGCATCTTCCTCTGTTAAGTAGAAATATTTCATTTCCTGTAAGTTCCATCACTAGGAGTAGAGATAGATCGATTTTAATATCTCTCCCACAAGATAAATCCTCAAACACTGAAAATAACTCTCTTATATCCCAGGAGAGCTCTCTTTTCCTGGTCAATATTTTAACTCTGACTATTTTTCATATGGAATGGTGTCAAGCTTCCTTTCTGTCTGGCTTTTCCCCTCTGAATGACTGCCAGTTTGTCTGTATCCTTCTTTATAGAGCCCCGTATTCTTTCTTTTAAAGTAAAAGTACAGAGACTTGTTCTTGTTGCAAAGCAAAAGTACACACTCAAGAAAGGGGAGTGGGGATGTTCTCAAAAGAGAATCATGCAAGGGGGTTGGGGTTCCTATCTTCATGGTTTCTTTAACGAAGGGGTGGAATATTCATGAAGATTCCTGGAAAAAGGTAAAAGTTTCTCAGAACTGTAGTGTCACTCATTTTTACAGCAAACATGGGTGTGCCCGGAACTGCCATGGCACTGGTGGGTGTGTGATTTGTATGTTAACTGGTGTATAATGAGGTCCGAGGTGAAACCTAGGGCAAATCCAGAACCAAACCAACTGTTTGGTTCAGTTGGTCTTAGCCAGCTTGATACACACCCTGTTTTTCAGAGTCTTATCAGCCCATGGGCTCTGCAGCTATTTCAACAGTTTCCTTTTGCTAGTCATGTGAAACTGCTGCCTGGAATTTTCCTAATCTCTGATCATCCTATATTATTCCTGTCTCATCCCCCCAGCTTAAAGATTTCCATCCCTATCCTTAAAGGTTGATGTGGGAGAAAGTCAGTCTTCTGTATCTGCTTCCCGCCATTAAGGCCATTGGCTCTGCCTTGCGAGGGCATGGTAATCTCTGGCTATCTGGTCTGAGGATCCCAAGGGTAGGTTATCAGGAGAGTCTAAATCCAAGGCAGAAGACCCCAGGATTTTAAGGGAAGGTTTGAATATCACAAAGTAAAACAAGACTAGTACCTCTCTAATTTTAGAGATATCTAAAGTTACAATCAGATTTTCTAATTTAATAATACTATTTAATAATATTAAATTCTTTTTAAAAGGAAAAATAACAATGGTTGATTGGTAAGTCATTGAGAAGACACATAAAGTTTCTGGGAAAATAAAACAAGAATGGAGAGGAGGCAGCTCTGGGAAGCAGTTGGCATCCTGCCTGCTTCATATCTGCAGGAACAGGGCTGGTAGCCTCCCTCTCTGGTGAAAATTCTGGCCACTCCGGTCTGACAGATTAATAGCCCCAAACTACCCAAAGTTGGGGCAAAATTTCAAGGAAGGTAGTGGGAATAGAATGCTGTGTCTCTGAGGCAAGAGTTGACTGACTTGTTGGGGGAAGTGGGTTCATAAAAGCAGGATTCTGGGCTCTGTTAGAGGCTAATCCTCAGGGCTAATCTGGATTCAAGAGTATCTCCCCTCATGCTCACCCAAGGACTCAGTGGAGAACATGCACCAAAACTTGGGTTCCTACAGCCAGGCCATGCAAAGGGTGGGCTTAGGGAGACTCATTTCCCTCAATATAGATGCAAGGCGTCGGAGGGTGGGGGGTGCTTCTGTCTTTGCTGCCTTGTAGCCAGGTCAGCTTTGAGGGAAACTCAGAAAGGGAAGTTCTAACTGGGCTCGCCCAGGAAACAGGGTTGGGGCAAGATAGGCAGGTTGACAATAGGAACACATGGCTCTCCTGGCTCCACAATGAAATTCTCACTGCGTAGTGTAGTCTCTTGTTTGGTTTCGTTTTGCCTACTTCCCTCACACTTCCTTAAAGGTCTTGTGTTTCCAGTTTACTGGAAGAATGGCGAGATCAGAGGTAAATTTGCGTAATAAATCTGAACAGAACAGAAACAAAGTCCAGGATGGAGGGAATGCGAAAACTGTCAAGGAAAGTTCTTTCATATTATTAGTTCTTAATATTAATGCTAACTAATATAGAACATATATATGTTATGCATGCATAACATAGAACATACTATTATAAGATTAATGCTTATATACTTCTGTATACATAACATAAATATACATACTTTGTATGCAGTTACGTATACACATACAAATACATATGGTCATGTATACCTATGCATAAATGACATATATGTTATGTATTAATTAACAAAATTAAATAATTACATTACTAAACGAAATTTTATATAAATATACAAAATTTATATATTGATTATATAAATATATAATGGGAATATATATATATATATTTACTTTCTTCAACTTAATAAAGAGAGTGGATTCATTTGCCTCTGTTCAATGACCAGAAACAGGTCTTTGTAAGTTAGGTTGGGGCCAGTTGAATTGTCTGATTCAGTGTGACCCTCAGCACTAACAGAAGCCATTCAAATCCCAAATTCTACAAGTAAAAGTACCCAAAACTTGCCAAGTGCAGAATGGCTTATTTAAATACACACACACACACACACACACACACACACACACACACACACACACACACAGCAGTAAGCTTTGGGTTTCCCTGCATCTATTTCTTAGTTTTCGAGGCTACAGTGCTCACCTAGATACTGTTACTCACGCAGAATAAGTATTCCATAAATCTTTGCTCAAACAATGAATACACTAAAGTGATTTTCACATATACATTGTGAATTTGAAATTGAAACAGTCACTTAAATTTAAAAATGGGTCTTCAATTACAAGCTCTCTACAATCTAATTACATGCATACATTGCTAAGTAATATTTTATTACCTACATAGACAGAAGAATAATGTTCTCAGGGAATGAAAAATTTTTTTCCCTTTCAATGTTAAGAATTTGCCAAAAATGCAGAGTCCCCTAGAGAAAAAGACTGATTATAGTTGGGCAACAGCAACAGTTTTCCTTCATTAAAGGTGGATGCTGACTCTTGGAGAGAGCACGCTAACATTCTTCCCAAAGCAGAAAGTTTTTCTAACTTGGACTTCTGCAGCAGCTACTAAGATAATAGATTATCATATTCTTTTTTGAGAATACGATATATTACCTCATTGTTGAGGTAATAACTGCCTGTGTTGGCATTGCTGTAGACATACTGACTGAAGTGTGTAGGTAAAAATATAATTTATATATAGCTTAAAGATGTAATAATCAAAAATGAACTTCCCAATGAGTAACAGATATCAAAGAGTATCAGAAGTAAGAAAATATCCAACTGATGCACGGACGGCATTAAAACTAAGTGAAATCACTAAAGTCCTCACACAAAAGGTGCTTGGCACGCAGCCTTATTCCTCGCAGCTGTAGGTTGTAAACTTCTAAATATGTGTCTTCAAGGACTGCTTTAAGATACAGAACTGACAATAGCTATGAGTCCTGCAGATAACCGTTTTGCTTTTCTTTTCTTCTTTAGAGTTTAGGAGCTTTTGTCTTGTTTCTACACAAATACTTTACAGGTTATTCGTATGAGATTTAGGTTTTCGTGTTTATTCATGACGCCTTTCCAAACTGATTGGGATATAAGTATTTGAATTTTTTCTTTAAATCAGCTATCAAGAGGCAATTAGGTCTCTGTATTAAATAAGTACCACTGGACATCCTTTAAGTTTTGTTTGTAGACAGCATATAAGATTATTTATTTATTTCCTTAGTTATTTTGAGACAGAGTCTAGCTCTGTCACCCAGGCTGGAGTGCAGTCTCCACTTCCCAGGTTCAAGCCATCTTCCCACCTTAGCCTCCTAAACAGCTGGGACTACACAGGCACACACCACCAGAGCCTGTTAATT